TTTTATCTATCCACGTCTGTCATATATTTTCATATTAATTTTTAATATATAATATATTTGACATGACGGATAACGATAAGAATAGTATTAATATAATAGACTCCGATTTACGCGTACCGAATCCTCGGCACTTTTTATTCGCGTGACGATAAATTCCACGCCTTACTCGAGAAATTCCCCAGAATAACTAAACCACTCGAGGAGATTTCATCGGTGACCAATCGTGTGGTACACCACATAGTCACCCGCGGACCACCAGTCACGGCAAGATCACGCCGACTGGCACCGGACAAATCAGCTTTCGCTAAACGTGAGTTCGACAATTTACTATCTGCTGGTATTATTCGTCCTTCTCACAGTCCTTGGGCCTCTCCTTTACACATGGTGCGCAAAAAGGATGGGGTTAGTTGGAGACCATGCGGCGACTACCGAGCATTAAACGTAGTTACGCGCTTTGATAGCTACCCCATCCCCCACATACACGACATCACGGCATCGCTCAAGGGCACGACTATCTTTTCTAAAATCGATCTGGTACGAGCATATCACCAGATCCCAGTCGCTCTTGAAGACATCGAGAAAACTGCTATCACGACTCCTTTCGGTCTGTTTGAGTTCCTACGAATGCCATTTGGATTACGGAATGCTGCTCAAACTTTCCAAAGGTTTATCGATAGCATAGTACGAGACTTGGATTTTGTTCACGTCTGTATTGATGACCTGCTGACCGCATCATCAAACGTAGATGAACATTATCAACACCTTACGCTATTATTCCAACGTCTTTCGGATAATGGAATAGTAGTCAACCCAGACAAATGTGAATTGGGTAAATCAGAAATAATATTTCTGGGTCACATCATCAAACAAGAGGGTATTCTGCCTTGCGAGGACAAAATTCGAGCAATCAAGGAGTACAACGTGCCGTCCTCAATCAAGGAACTGAAGGCTTTTCTCGGTTTGGTTAACTTCTACCGACGTTTTATCCCTCACGCGGCAGAACGTTTACGACCATTAACCGATTTACTACGCGGTAATCCACGCAAATTAGAATTGAACGATACCGCACGTACTGCATTCTCAGAGATCAAAACGGCTCTCGCTGAAGTTACACTTCTCGCTCATCCTGACCCATCAGCCACGCTTAGTATAGCGGTTGATGCATCAGATTTCGCTATAGGAGCCGTTATGCAACAGAATATCTCCGGTAGTTGGCAACCACTCGAATGTTTCTCACGACGCCTTACTCCCACGGAGACGAGATATAGCGCTTTTGGTCGCGAGCTGCTCGCAGCCTACTGCGCCATCAAACATTTCCGGCACGCAGTAGAAGGATGTCAATTCATTTTATTCACCGACCATAAGCCCTTAACGTATGCCCTGCATACCAAGTCTGACCGCTACTCACCACGAGAGTGCAGACATTTGGACTATATCTCCCAGTTCACGACAGACCTTCGTCACATTAAAGGCGAGTCGAACTACGTTGCCGATGCTCTTTCACGTATCCAGACGAATGCAGTTACTTCACCGGTGCTCGATCTTCCTGCTATGGCGGCCGCGCAAGCAAACGATCCTGTCTGTACAGAAGCACCACAATCTTCGTCCCTTCAGTGTCAGGAAGTACCCCTAGCTACTAGCTCAGGTACTATCCTATGTGATACGTCTACCGGTCTTCCTCGACCCATCGTACCCTCTACCTATCGCCGTCTCGTCTTCGATGCCCTTCATGGATTGTCTCATCCAGGTATCGCAGCCACATTACGCCTCATCGCTGCACGATACGTCTGGCCGTCCATGAATAAAGATGTTCGTATGTGGGTAAAGCAATGCTTACAGTGTCAACGATCAAATGTGCACAGGCACGTAGCTGCCCCCATTGGCACGTTCGCTACGCCTGATGCTCGCTTCGATCACGTTCATATAGACATTGTAGTACCATTGCCACCATCGCATGGGTATGATCACATACTCACGTGCATTGACCGTTTTACAAGATGGCCCGAAGCTATTCCCATCACGTCTATCACGGCGGAGACAGTTGCTCACCGCTTCGTAGAACGATGGATAGCATTGTACGGTTGTCCCTCGACTGTCACGACTGACCGAGGACAACAATTTAAGTCCGCATTATTCTCCTCACTGACCAGGCTGCTTGGTACGGAACGCATACGCACTACCGCCTACCATCCAGCATCGAATGGTTTAGTCGAAAGGTTTCATCGCCAACTTAAAAGTGCTCTCCGAGCACACGAAAACGACAATTGGTACGAAACCTTACCGCTCGTTCTCTTAGACATCAGAACGAGTTTGAAGGCAGATATCCAATGTTCCGCCGCTGAACTTGTATACGGCACCACATTGCGTCTGCTTGGGGAATTCTTCACACCACGGAGCAGTAATGATTTCGGTAAATCAGACTACGTCCATCGACTGTCTGCATTTATGCGAACGCTGTCTCCGGTGTCAACTCGAATACAACATCGACAGGTCGCTCTCCCTCGAGAGTTATCTACCTGTTCACATGTTTTCATACGAGTAGATTCGGTACTCAAACCATTGCAACAGCCTTACGAAGGCCCTTTTCACGTGATCTCTCGTCACGAAAAGACCTTCAAGGTTGATCGACACGGCCGCGTCGAGATCGTCAGCATTGATCGTCTCAAACCAGCACACGTCGATGACAGTGCCCTACCCGATAACTTGAGACTCAATGCTAGACCTATCAAACCTTCTGGCGGGATCTCTACGTCTACCTCGGATCCCACGCTAGATACATCAGAGACCTCGTTCTCACGTCCCGGTCAACAGCACGCGTCATCTGCACCATCTACGGACGAGACTTCCGTCTCACGTCCAGATCGGCAGACCACGCCGCCCTTGACCTCGGATGAGATCGCAGGCTCACGAAGTACGAACGAGACTACCGTCTCACGTTCCGGTCGCCGAGTACGATTACCCGTACGCTTTCGCGACTAAACGCACAGTCAATAACATACGGTGTAGGATTATTCCTATACTACACGCATGCTACACTTTTCTTTTTTTGATTTTTTTCTGTATCCTGAGCTCACGCCTCCGACCATCGTCCATTTGATAACGTCGACTTCAGTCAACTTTGGCGAAAGCTGGATTGGCCACCCGCGCTCTAGTCAACGCACTCAGTCGATTATCTGGTCTCGAATTCGCCTGGCATACGCTTGGTTCTTATGGTCGCGTCCGGTTTCTTGGCTCAACGTGGTTTCGTGCTACGTCTGCAGCGTTTTCTTGTCCACATCCCTACGAACGCAATCATCAGATTCTGGATACAAACCACTCTGGTGTGGTATGCTAACTCGACCAACAAATACAGCACACTTCTCCTGATACCGTTCTGCGCAAAAGACCTTCGTTGGCAACTCGAGGATCAATGATCACTTCCTGTTCCGCCAATTTCCTCCGTCCTACAACCGCAATTCTGCCGATCAGTCCCACGAATCAAACCGCTAACTATCGAAAGTGTAAACCCTTTCTAGCGGGGGGCTCCTGTAGTGACCTACTTTTGTCAACAGAACGCGATTGGTTCGATGAAAACAATTATTATTATAACCAATTGTACCAGTGACTGTTTTACTGTGCTCGTTTGTTTAACTGTGCTAATGACAGCCATTATACTTACTCTCCCGTTGACTTTGAACTTTTACGAATTCGGTTACGCTCAGTAACCACGCTTGTACTCCTTTGGCACGATCTCGGTATTCTTTCGATACCACGAGATCGCCAACAAATACATCTCGACTACAGCCATCATCTGTCTTCTGATATTGGCCTACGGGGATCTTATTGGTCTATTGGCAAGTAGTCTGGTAGCGGTGTTCATAGTTCAGCTCAACTCGACACCACGCTACAGGCGGGAGTTCAAGGAAAGATTGAAGCTCTTTAGAGTCTAGAAACAGGGTTATTAGCCTTTTGAATCTGGAAAATGTTTCACAGTTGCGGATAGGCAATGGCAACCTGTTCCACAATAAACCATACCGCACTGTAAAAAACTTACAACGCACTTGTTTTAGGTATTTTACGGTGCGTAGTGTATATGCGTTGTTTCTTAGTCTATAGGCTGGGTCGTGAATCATAGTTGGGCAGGAGGTTAGAAATGAGAGTCCATATATCGCTTTGTAGAGAAATATTAAATTATTCTTTAGCCTACGGTGCCATAAAGGTTCTAAAGAGAGGTGCTTACATCTATCTGTGTAGTCGGCATTAGAGCTACTTCCTAGCAGTTGGCGTGTGAAGCGTTTTTGAACGTCTTCTACTCTTATCTTGTCGGTGGTATTCATATTAGAGAAGATAAAAGAGCAGTAATCCAGGGAAAGTCGTACACATATTTTATAGACAGTAAGGTCTGGAGTAACTTTTATACTTTTGTATGGAATGAGTGAGCTAATATTTTTGCTCGAATCAATAAACTGTTTAGCATCATTACAACAGCCAAACATAAACAGGAGGGGGCAAGTAGATCTGTCTGACTTTTTTCTAAGGCGTTTGACTTTTCAGTTAACGTTCAGCATACCGCATGCTCTAAGGCAAATATCCCTCAACTTAGATGAGTGTATGCGGTCGGGGAGGTTATACGCAACTGCATTGAAGGAGGACATCACTCTTTTCGACACTTCTTCAGCCACAAACTCCAAAATACACTCAGCTTTAGTGAGTTGCTCGAGATTTCAACGCCACATATGTGCGTGAGGGGTGCTAGTTGCTGAAGTCTGCCGTTTATTTCGGCTAGGGAGTTTTGTAGTTGACAGATGTCAGTAATATATCTATCAGTATTTTTATGTGTATGAGATGAACTACTGGACTCTTCAGTTTTTGAAATTTTAGATTTAAGTCTTTGTAGAACGTATTGTCTGGTAGACTGTGCTGACGTTTCGATGCACATGGGTATAGTGTCTTGTATGTCAACCAGTCTTACCGTTGGCATACTGCACGCAGAGATGGAGGGGCAGTAACATGTGGATTCAGGTAAAATGTTTAAATAATCGAATGCAAACCCTCAACAATAAGCTGAGTAACCTATGATGGATTAAGAATGAATCAGAAACTATTGAATATTTGTAGACTTATAAACAACGCCATCAGAACTTATGGAAGAGCTACGTACCGCCATTATGCGGTGCGAGATTCTGATTTTCGCAGAGATCAGAAGCGTATAAAAAATTTGTATATTGAAGAAGCGGCTGTAGATCACCTAGCGGATTTTCGCAGTCAATTAGATGGAGGAGGTAACTTCATTTGTATTATTATTTTGTTTATGAAGGACTTTAATGAACACTCAACGTCCGGTCTTTATCTATTCTATTGTTACCGACAACTCACCTGCTGTAGATATTGTTATCAACCAAATCTATCCAAACTGCCACCACATTATGTTTCGCAAACACCGCATTTGTAATGTCATAAAGAGGGTAAGCTATTGATTGATCGAGCTTAACCCGTAATCAATCATTGTAGAGGATGCGATTTGAAATTGTACAGATACTCGTCCGTCTGATGTTCAGTCGAAACGTGGAAGCGTAAATAAAAGACTTTATGCCTTACAGTCTTTTGCAGTGTCCAATATTACCTTTCATTTATTGAAACATCAGATGGGACTTTCTACTGATATTTGAGAGATCATTTGTCGCGTAAGATTGGTGCTATGGACTTAATAGACAACGCTAGGCAGGAAGAAGAAGTCTAGACTGCTCGTACGGATTCGTATGTATTTGATCCGGCCGATAAGTCACTGCTCTGAAAATGGCTGTATCTTCACGTTATATATTAATAGGGCACAAGGCCACAAGTTCTAACAATTAGCAACAGGGAGAAAAACTCTGCAGTCTTAATCTTCAAAAAAAGAAAGAAGATCGGCCGGTGATTGAGCTCTTTAAGTGCACGTCCAAATGTTAACTGTTATTACGTGCTAATTATATCGTCTGTTTTCAGCTATCTATACAATCCGATATATGTGTTTTATTTTGATGAATGATTATCTAATACTGCATTCTAGTTTCAGTATGAATACTTGTCCTGGGCTTCAGATGCATTAAACTGACGACCCCGAAAAAGGGCGAAACGTTTCAAATTATTATTTAAAATACAACGGCAAAAATGTTCCAAAATTAGTAGTTTAGAAAGTTAATAAGATTATCTAGACAGAACTTATGTATATGATACGATTTCTATTGAAAATATACAGTAGTTGAACAATGAACACTAAACAGTATTATGTTAGTTGAGTCCCCAGAATTAATCAACTTCATCCTATGGAGCTGCTACTGAATCACGTATCCCAGTTGTTAGAAATGATTTTCGTCACGAATAAGCTTAAGTTGATGACTAGAGGCAAGTGACAGACTAAGGTGAATTTTCGTTCCACTTTAAATGAAGCAGGCTTAGCTGTGATTTTGAGGAAATCGACGCTCATCGTGAGATCGAAGACTGAAGATACGCTTTGTAAATTAGTGCTATCTAGCTTGAGACATGGATTCAGAGATTCTTTCGATCCAGCACTGGATCCACATCATTGTGAATGAGAATCCCTTGATAGATAATTTAATTCGCTCATATGGTAAGGTCTTTTTGAGCTCTATAACTAAAGATGCCGTTTTCAGTTACTTGAACGTTTTTATTGGTAAATTTTAAGTCATACATTTGACGATATAGTATAAATTTTACGTAATCTGCACAAAATCACATACGTGAATCAATACATATAAGACTTCTGAAAACGACAAAATAAAGACTGAATAGATTTTCTGTATTCGTAACACTTTGTATGTAATCTATTGTTTCTCTGTATCGATGGTAAAAGAAACGGATATAATTGTTTGGTTGCGCATACAAACTATCGCTATAAATAAGGATAAACAATATCTCCACCATATGTACTTCTACTTTATTGACCACGACCTGTGATTAGAGTTTTGACCCGAATCATCACTGAGTAATACTATCGATTCTTATCTTTTTCTATACGTCGTTGATGCAATCAGGTTCAGAGACACCTCTGTTAATCAGGTGATTTCATTTGTGTTTGTTATCTCAGAGAGTAGCTCACAAGTGATATTCATTTCATAACAGCTGTTATCATATTGTTATTCAATACACCAAATTGTTGTGAGTGTTATGTCATATCTTCTTGTTTTACTCAATAACAGATACTTTGTTTTGAAGTGTTAATTCTTTTTGGTATATCAATAGTACCTGTGCGTATGTCATATCTTGTGTAAGCTCTTTTGCTGGGATCCTCCATAGAATGAGTTATTGACATCGCCACTCTGGATAAGCTGATGTTTAATGACAGTACAACTGGCTGCCAAATAAAGTTTCTTTTGTATAAAATCGGTATAAACATTTACAGATTGCTGAAATATTGAAAGAAAGTAATGAAATGTTATTTCAAGTATGAAATGTTTTGGAATATGAGTAATTTGTACGCTACTGGCAAGTCCGTACTTTACAATCTTCCCGTTATGTGAAACCGACAGGCTGAATAAAAATAGATCTACACAACGATAATTCAAATATGATAGTCTGTGTAAACAACATGATCTGATAAACCGTTCAAAATATACGCTCTCTGAACAGACCTACCATCACAAACTGACTTATGTTAAACAACCACAATTAGTAATCAACATCAAACCAGTAATCTGGCTCAAGTATGTAGTTCACACATTTGTCATCATGAGAAAGATTGTTCTTAGAGATTTCTCCAAACCCAAATACACACTGTCAGAAAACACCATATTCACTTTTAAAAGGAACATGAACATATGAACATACTTTTTGTAGACTGTTTATATGAAGGAAATTCCTGTGGTAGTCAAAATATAGGCACACACTGAAAGTCGATAAATTCAAATCAGTATATTGCCTTTGAGTCGCCACATTCATTCAGTGTGAAATTTTCTCTGGCTTAGAAGCTCGTCAGAAGAGCAATCAGGATCATTACTTCAGAAGAATACACACCAAAAATAAGCAAATTTATCAAACATCCTAAGTTTCAACAATTTTTATTGGAATGTTATTAAAAACATATCAAAGCAAAACTGCTTCTCTGTTAGTAACAATCTCAATAAAAGATCTTGGATTAGTATTGTGGTTTAACCATACCTTAACATTATCGATGTCAAACGTAAACTCTCTGCATGCAACAACTGCTACGTTTTCCTTGAATGTTGCGAATCTCCCACCTTAGTAAAACTGTGAATAGTCGAGATGCGGTTTCCTATGAATGTTTGTAATTGCCTTTTCTCATTTCTGATATGATGAAGGACAATCACAGAATCTGTCCAAAAATTAACCTCTGCAAACTTAATATCTAACTCCGATTGCAGATGTGACCTCATGCGAGCTGCTAACATTGCTGTCGCAAGTTGCAAACGTGGTATAATCTGAGTCTCCAAGGGAGCTACTCTTGCTTTTTCTGTGATAAGACAAAAACATATTTTAGTACCAGGGATGCAAAAACGGACGTATGCTATTGCACCGTATCCAATTTCCGAGACATAAATGAAACCGGGAGCGAGTGGTCTGATTGTGAAAATAATAAACAAAGTGTAAAACTAACGCTCTCAACCCTCTGAAACTCACTTGAAGTTTCTAACCAGCGTTTGCTTTCTTTCTTCGTAATCTCTTCGTCCCAGCCTAGTCCTAATTTACTCAAACGTTGAAGTAACTGCTTCATGGGAAGGATGAACGGTGCTAACAGTCCCAGGGGATCGGAAAATGAGGCTACACTCGATAATACACATCGCTCAGTGAGGGGACGTTTCTGTGTGCAAACCTTAAATTCAAACGAATCAACCATATATTCCAGAACAATCTAAATGTGCGTTTTGTAGGAAGCTTTTCAAAGTCAATCTCTTACGTCATCTCTCTTTCTTCGGAATAAATTGATTCGAGAACTTGTGAACAGTTACTTAAGTACTTGCTAAGTCTAAACCCAACATTTCTGAAGAATAACCCAAGGGCTTTTGCCAGCTCAATTGCATCCTGTACTCAAACTACGTACGTAAGTTGCGAGTTTCTCCATTTTTTGATACACACGACTAACTACTTCTTCTCTGCGGTACGTTTGGAGTTTGCGTTACGATAACACTATCTAATATATATTGATTGTATATCGTTGAGTCCTAGTTTATAACTCATACATCGATTTAGAATTCATATGGGTCGACTGTCAAAAAAACGAGCACGGAAATGCCCTAACTCTTCAGATATTAACAATTCTGTTATTACCTATTCTTCTTGCTCCTGTGGAGATGGCATGACAAACTTATTTTGTAAACAGTTTTTGATACTATCTGTATTTATTTTGTTAAATTTCACAGCTTGTACATTCACTATGAGATTGTTGTACTTTTTGTTTATGTGTGTGACCCTGATGATTACAGGCGCTCTCTATACACACACACACGCTGCTTTCACTTTCCGTTCATTGTACACTAGCACGGCCCTCGCCGCTATACATTATCAAATACACTTTATACATACCATTGCTATTCTCATCTGCTTAGTGGATATTATTCATAATAATTAATACGTATGTTATCTACTTTATAGACTGCTGCCACATACACATACTGACCTTCGGATTATCATGATAAATGGAATATTAAACGAACCAAAATTGTGGCAAAAGACCACCAGATCAAATCGAACACGCACAAGTAGCTGCATTAAGTAACGTTCTTATATTTTTATTGTATTTATCGCATTTAACTGATATATTTCAATATAAACTCATTGATATCCGATAACCTTGTTAATATTTTGAAATAATATATTTGGGTGGTCCACCACAATTAAATGGTGACCCCAACGTTTCTCAGAGTTAATTAGTGAGCGTGTGTTTATGCTATTTGTTATGCTATTATAATTTTTATTATTATTTTCGGCTTACCCATTTTGTTTATATCTCATACGGCTTTATTTGTACTAAATCACTTACAATGGACTCTCTCCCAGCTAATCCTTTCTCCACATCACAGTCTGAAGATAAAACCCTAACTTCCATTAATGCCATCTCAGATTTTAATCTTCCTGCGTTTGGCATTAGCAACCCTAGGATGTGGTTTTGTCAGATTGAAGCTTTATTTACAGCCAAAAACATACGCGCACAAACTACGAAATACGCATATGTTGTAAGCTCACTCCCATTAGACATAGCTGCACAAGTGGGAGATCTTATTGCTCAAGTGCCTGAAAACGACCCATATGATAAACTTAAAGCCGCATTGATTCAGAGAACTTCCGCATCAGACGAAACAAGGCTACAACAGTTATTAACCTCCTGTGAGTTGGGAGATAAAAAGCCATCCCAATTACTACGATACATGAAAGAGTTGTCTGGTCCTTATAAATTAGACGAGAATATACTCAAACAACTTTGGCTTCAACGGCTACCTCACAATGTCAGACAGATTCTTATGGTAACTATTAATTCAGCCAACCTGACTGAGTTAGCCGACATGGCTGATAAATTAACTGAAATCCACCCAGATAACCAAGTTGTTAATTCTGTACAAACTACTGGTATAGATAATATGTGTAATGTTATTAGCCTCCAACAACAGCAAATAGCACAACTCACAAATCAGATTGAATCACTACGTGCTTCGATAGCTATGATAACCACGAAACCAACTTCGATAATTCCTAGAAAAAGGTCAGGATCGCGACATCGCTCTAGATCTCCAAAAAGACCAACTGGCGTTTGTTGGTACCATCAGAAGTATGTTGAGAAAGCACGACGTTGTACCAAGCCGTGCACTTTCCCTACAAGCAGTTACGAATTACAGGGAAACTGGCCTGCCAGACAGTAATGGCGGCGACTGCTTCTGGCCATGCTACTAGCCGTCTGTTTCACATCAGGGACAGAATTTCGGGCTCAGACTTCTTAGTCGATACAGGAGCCGAAATAAGCATTATACCTCTATACCTCTCCCGACGGCAACATATCACCCCCAGCAAGAATACACTCCAAGCAGCGAATGAAACAATCATTCAGACTTACGGGGAACAGTCACTAATAATCGACCTCGGTCTCAGACGACGTTTCACGTGGGTCTTTGTAGTAGCACGGGTCAAACAGCCAATC